GTGGCATCGACGGGAATCAATTAGGGATCCGTTTAATGATTTGATAACTTAACATAAACACGCCGAGAGATTACTTATTTTCTGTGATGTTTTTAATATTTTTTATAGTTTAATATAAAAATTCAATGGCTTTACTTATTTAGTAAGGGGCATGTCAGACCTGTCTATAAAGAAATCGTGTAAAATAATTTGTTGTAGGTACTTAGGCACATACCTACACTTCTAATCGTACTTTAATTTTGTAAACTACTTGCTTTGAGTCTCTATTCTTGTTTTTCATAAATATTCTTCTGCATAAATTTACGAAATACAATCGATACCCACCTCGTCATGACAGGAATCTCCTTTCCGAGAGCATGATGAAACAGTTATGTAACAGTCAAACACATTAAAACTGCTTACCACTCGTTTGGAGTATAACTATCATCTCCCTCTCACTCTACCTATGTACTACTCGAATGACTAACAAAATTAACTGTCCCTGTTTATAACCATTCTAAAACGCGTCCATGATAGGTCAGCACCAAATCCTAGACAACTAAAATATGGTGTCAATGTAACAAAAATGGTGGTACACCGTTAACATGGCTCTTTAGACGTTATGTCAAACGTCTACAACCCATTACATACGCGTCAATGCATGACACCGGAAACGTCATTGAAAAGACATAAACGCGACTCACTCATACAATAATGATGTTTGAACATATTAATTTTTATAATGATTTGTATTCCCACATTTCCCACTAGTATTAAATGTGCAAAATTTGTGTATTTATTGTCTTCAGGACAAAAGAGCTCAACAATTTGGGATGAAAATAGACGTACAGGTAGGTTTAAACACTGATCCATTGTAAATAAGTGATCAAATAACTTGAACGGGGACAAGAACCAGGACTTATCCCATCCATTTCCCATTGATGTTACTTTTGTACACTAGAGTTATTATCTCTAAATCCACGGAAAGAAAGTCACTCCTGGTCAACCATAACGACTTTTAATCAAAAACAATTCAAAACAGTTACAAATGCTTTGCAAAATACCTATACTCGAGACCTCATTAAAGGTATAGGATACAATGTTTAAATTTTTTAATTATAAAATAGGTAATTATCCAAAAACATTATTAAACTTAAATTGAAGATTTTTTAATTGATTAGAAGTTATACCTTACTACCTAGTATTTAAACATGTGTGATATTAACACAAATATTTAATAAATTACAGTTCTTTCAAATGGTTTGTTTCAAAAATTTGGTTACTGAAAAATATATCGTATAGGGAATACGATATATTTTTCAGTAACCAAATTCATAACTTATGTTAATATGTACGTTCATTTTGTTAGTTTTTTCCCGAAATGGTGTTCACTTCCCCACGGTATCCCCTTACGCCGGATGGTTTGTAACCTGCAATACACGAGTCTCAAACCTTAGTTCCGTCATTGATATTGAAAAACAACCCCTCTCCACAATAATTTAAGTACGTTAATTCTTCGAAACATTTATAACTTGAATATTTTATGCGTATAAGTATTTGACTATAGTGAACTGATGAAATAGTAACTGTAATTTGTAGCAATAAGGTATGGTTTTATTTGAAGAAAGGAAACATCGGATGCCGGAAGGACACATTGTATAGGTCTTAGCTACCTGTTGATAATTTCTATTGTGAATGGTGAGCGTGCACAATACTTTGTTGCTCAACTTAAGAACTTTTAAAAGCATTCCAGCGATGACTAACTCTTAACTGGTATCTTATCTATTAGATAGTTAACAATTGTATTAGAAATGAAAGTACAGGTACTAAAAGTCGTCTTAAAGAACCTTAATCATGAACCGCATAAAGTAGTTGAATTTTAGAAGTGTACTTAGTAGTGAAGCGTCGATAAAGTCACCTTATGTAAGTATTAAACGTGCATAGTGTACCTATAGTGACGTTTGTTACTTATTTTAGAACAGTAAATATTACATCACATTAACAGATTAATTAATCGTTGTCCTTAAAACACATAGCATCGGTTGACAAAGAAAAACTGTTTCTTCTCTTATTTTGTTTCAAAATAAACTAGAAAACTAATTCTGTGAGGCTTTGCAAATACACAAACAAACACACACACAATAAACAACCACTACTTCTGTCATTGGAATAGAGTAAGCATTAATTATTCTGTGTAGAAACTGAATAGGTACGTCAACCTATGAAACTCCTGCGCCGGTCTAAGACCTCCCTGCTCGAACTAACAACATAGAATACAATGCAAGTTACGACTGCATAATACGATACGTGAGCTTTTCCTAGTTAAACTTAAAAGATCTCATTTTTGGAAGTACCTCAGCAAAAAGCTAGTTGATGACCTAAACCTAAACAAAATTATGTCGATATCTTAGTATCAATCTTAGTTTACTTTATGGTAACTTAAGACATATGTATGTAAGTACCCATAAAGCAAAAATTAATGTTCATTTGGCAGCAATAAATTACGTTCAAAAGTTAAGTTGTCGAACGCTGTTAAGGCGGCCCTTTTCAGGCGTCAAGACATGCTTCTTAAATGACTATACTTTTGAATTAGCGTCCACTCGATTCATATTTATATCCGCCATTTTTCATGCACAACGAGCAGCGCATACGCAAATGCAAGCCATTAATAAATTACAGAAACACACATCCACATTTGATCTTTACGTCACAGCATAAGATGTATTAGCGCACATGAGTGTGTGAGTGCACTTCCTCTACTGTTATCTGTGTGGGCGTGTGGAGGAGCTTGAGGAGGTGAGGCGCGGGACAGGCGGGACGCGGGGCCACTTCCCGCATAGCACCTGGCGCTCAGAGGTTACATGCTTCGACGGGATCCCATTGATTTGTGGCAAGATGCACTTGAACCTACTGCACTGATCTGATTTACTCTTTGTTTATGTTAAAGTTACATTATTAAATATAACCATTCACACGATTACATATGCATATATGTTAGCGGAAGATTTTATAGTTAATAAACATTTTCACAATACGTAGGTTTAGTATTTGACCCTCGCTCACCACACATGATTGAGTCTTTCCGAGAACAGTACAGAGCTTTATGAACATGGACATTGTTAATGCCCATATATTGTTAATACTAATAATAATTCTTAGGATAACGAAGTTGCTGAGTTGCGGAGACTCTATAGGAAAAGATGCCACGATGAGACCACGCCACTCAAGCATCGCCGAAAGCAATACCACATCCTTTGTTTGTTTAAGAGTAAGTCGTTTTAGTTCAATGTTTTAAGTAAACATCTGAAGAACTGTTTCATTCTAAAATAAAAATATTAGCTTAAGAATTAATAATGCTTTATGCAATTTTTTTTACAAAGAGTTATATTCTCGAGTACATAATATACTTAATAGTTCAGAGATAATATCTTGAAAATATAAAACTATTCAAATCAAAATGTTCTTAATTGCGCGGAATACAAACAGGCTTAATTGAGTGATCTCTATCTTAAAATGTTATGTACATAGGAAAGGAAACGTTTATTTGTATCGCAATCTAAAACTAAGAGTTATCATTTTAATCGTAAAAGACTATCATAGGTTGTGGTAGTTTGTTAATTACTTAAATTTATACATATTTAATCAAAGATTCACCGAGTGTCATGATTGTGAAAAGAAAACAAGTCTATTAAAACATAAAATATTATAATGCTTCGATTCATAAAACAAACATGTACCATTACAGGAAAGCTAAGATTTTTTACGAGATGATCAGACGTATAGTTAAGCTAATGTCAAAATATTTGTTATTGGCAAAGGGACTGGTCCACGTGTCGACGTCGCCGCGTCGATGGCCAAACATTGACAGCCGCGCCCAACAGATAACAATACCGCGAACAATGAGGGACAAGGCCCTGCCGGCCCGACGCACCTACAAACAAATACTTAAACAACCATTATAATATATTCGTTCAGAAGTGTAGTAGTATGGCAAAGACTTATCAAATCGAATGGAAAGACAGACCAAGTTCGTCGATGTACTATCTCGCCTTTTTAATTTAACATTATCTATACCTAATAATTTAACGTCATAATCCTCTGGTTCACCATTTGACAGAGGTTTTTATGAATTCAGAAGTGTCTATCATTCATCATTAAGCTATATTAGCAGGGCTACTTTATAACATCCTGTCTTAGTTTCATTCATTTGTCATAGTCACAGAATCAATTGAGCTACTCTATGTTACTGCCAATTTGTACTATTTCCTGCTTACCTGTCACAGAGTAATATTGCATAATTTCTGGTTGATAACAAGATTTTACTTTTTTGGTGGCAAACAAGCACATAGCCGGACATTGGCAGCTCTGGACCTATTATAATACCTACCTATTACAACCTAAACATGCTAGCATCATAACTTTATCACATACGAGTATAATTAGACAGTAAATTTTGCATTTGAAACTGGAATGTGTCGCTTCTAGTAACAAGTTGTTGCAAAATCTATGAATGAAATTGGTGGATTATGCTTTACGGTGTAACAAAAACTGAGGCTCTTTAGAAAATACTCCCTGCGGATACACGGAGCGCAATATTTACTACGCCCCCCGACCCTTTCACTTCCTCTACGGCGACAACCTGTGTTCGAGAGAGACTGCATTACGTAAACACCTCGGACGGAGCGAGACAGCGGATTCATTCATAACCGAGTCCGCCATCCGGTCCGCGTTCTGATCGTTCACTTCATCTCCTTCTAACACGCAGTTTCCTCTCGAGTGCGAGCAGGTGGCACCGGATGCTTGACGAAGTACCGGAGCTTCGATCGGAAGTTCTCAAAAAGAAACCTCGTACTCTTTCACGTTATCTCGAGTGGAGTGTGATCAGTAATCATGCAAGACTGTTAGTGTCTAGTGCCCCGAGGTGCCGGTGTGGAGTGATATCAGAAAGACAAGTGTGTCGTGGTTATGTTAAATTAGTTTGTTTAATAAGGGGACAGTCACAATTGAAGATTTTCGTAAGCTCACTGGGAGTGAGACGTAGCGAGCTTCGCCCCTCCGCCGAGCGCCCATTCAGCAGCGAGTAGTCGCGCGCCGGCCACAGCGACGCACGCGCGCGCCCTCACACCTTGCCACTCAGAGTCTGGATACAACTCCAATTTGACATGACCGGTTCGGAACACGAACGCTCGCGATCGAACTATGTTAACACAGTGTTTGCTCACTAGTGATTTCTTTAATTGGTGCTTTTGAGTGAGTGACGCCGGGAATGTACGAGAAGTCGGCCTGGACATCTTTACAATGGCCCAAATTGCATTAAATGGGTAATTGGTGTACGTCATTGGATAATGGATTCGGCTCTTATACCTAGTATATATTATCTGTGCTTATAACGGGCGTGGGCCGAAGTGAATTTTGCACTTGACTCCCGGCCCCGTCTTTGTTTGATGCCGTTCCATTTCAATATTTAAATTCAACAATGCGATTTTTGTCCTCATGAGATGAATACAAAGCTGTACATTTATAGTATTTATTCTTTAAGTTCACAATTTACTGCATGAATATAGTTTATACTGTTCAATATCAATTGAGCGCGTACTCAAAATAACCGCGATAATGAACTTCATGGAATGTTTTTGTGTTAAAAGTTTCACATGAAAAGTCACATTGTAATATAATAATGTACCTAGTTACTGTTTTATCTTTTTTTTTAATTTGATTATGTTATATATTTATGCAGTAAATACAGTATTCGTTTAGTACCTGTGGTCATATTTCGTTTTGCAACTTCCCTCGTTCGCGTATTTACTTTCTATTTTACTTAGTATGTTTACTTTATAAATAGTTTTGCTATTTAACTTAACAGTAGTTAATTTATCAGACACTCAACCAGTTTAGAAATATTAAATGTAATCGAGAACACAAATCACTACCAACATGATTGTCTAAGGGGGCTTTATACAGTGATTGCTAAGTGGAGACTGCCAATTAAGTGTCCCATTAATGCATTCTATACAATTCCTATAGGGATTTGAGTTAACTGATTTAAGCGTTCTTCTCCCTAACGTAGATGCATAGCGTGAATTCCATGATTCGTTTTCTCTGCTATGATGCCGCCACGGGGCAGGTACCGCGCGTTATCAGCCGCCTGCGCTATGGCCGTGGGAATGAAAGAAGCGTGTTAAACAATAGCGAACAGATAAGACCATCGTCAGAACCTATTTGGAGTACCTTTAAGTAATTAGTTGTGTTTTCGTTTACGTACCCAGCCACTAAATGCGGTTTGCTTCGTAAATGTCTAATGATTCATACATGGTTTAGCCAAAATTCTACGCTCCAGCGATTTTGTTAACGTTGGAGTTGTTTGGTTTCAGCGTTTCTATTGATAGCAACAAATGAAAGGCTTAACATTGTATTTCTTTAGCTCAACAATTTGCGCCTAAAAAAGTAATGGTCGTAATCTTTTCTCAAATAACCTTGATTATCTAGTAATTAGGCTTTGTTTTTAACGAATCCCGTGGTTATACTATACTAATTAGAAAAAAAACTAAGTTTTTAAAAGATTTTATGGGCATTTAGAAAACAACAACCAACTGAAGTACCTACCAATTATAGAATAGTTAAAATAGTATTTATGACTCGTCTTTACTTTTTGTTTATCTAATTAAACAAAAATTTTAGTATTCAAATCTTCGTGCATAAAAAAATCAAAACCGTATGTTCAGCAGTATTTCGCAATTGTTGCAAGTAGGCAGAACATGCTTCGCACTCAGAAACGGATACAGGTGTTTACTTTGAAGCCATCCTGCAATCCCTCGCTTCAAGTTTTTTACACTTTTTAGCAAAGAAATCTGCGATGAGCATTTCATATAAGATCTGAATGGAAATATGGTTTTAAAACTACCTTGTATTGTTTGTAATTGTAATCTTGTTTTCATTTCGCTTTTGAATACAAAAAGGCCTATTGAGTTACATAATTAAGAAACAAATTACGTACTTAACTATTCATCATTTTTGGAAGCTTGATACTTGTATGAGATTTGTTTAATCTATTATTGTCAAAGTTCTTTCTCTATAATCAAGGTGGAAAACTTGATGGTAGGTGATTGTCGGTGAATAAAATAATGAACCCCGAAGCGATTCTAGTCAAATGCTGTTATACATACCGCATACAGCATTTAAAGTTTGCATTTGCGTATTATATTATTATAGGTTAATTTTAGGTTGGTTTCAGAGAACACGATTCGTTACTAAAAGTAAACATTTTCGCAGTCGACCAGCCACGCGCACGCGTTGTTTCTTTGTTAGAATAGAGCCAGTAAATGAAGTTGAGCCTAGAACAGCATGATTTCTATACGTTGCTTTAATAAATACATGTGTTACAAATATGTTAGTATTCATTTATTTATACAGGTTTTACAACATATTCAAACTATAAATAATCATATAAGAAACTACAAATTATATTTTGATACATACATTTAAATGAAAACAAAACTTATTTTGCTGTGCCTACAAACATGTGTTACTCATTTACTTTATTAATAATTGATGCCCATTTATTTATTTCAATGAAAGGCTCGAGGCCTTGACTACGTCTATTTAAAATATAAATAAAGAAAGAAATATTTCGCGTCGGCCTGTCCGCTTAGCGCGGTGTATGTACGAGCGTCAAATTTTCGCAGTCAGCGAACCGTGCCGCCTCTGAGTCACAAAAGAGCGTTAAACTGAACGCTTACATTCATATTCAAATGGTCCCCTCTCGATTCCAAAAACAAAATGAACAAATCGTTTCAAAATGTACTAAACCTAACCTAACACTATAGTGAACTTTTTTAATTTGCGTATGTACCTTTTATCGCATAGCCTATTCATTAATTACAGAAAAATATGCATAGTTTAAACAATGAAAAAATATAAACATAGTGCTTCTGTTGTTATTTCCTAGAAGAGATCTGATCATAAATTTGTAATGCATATGTAATGTGTAATTTCTGACTGGATACTATGTATGAGTATTCCTTTGTTTTTCAAATCATATATTTTTTTAACTTTCATTGTTATAAATCAAAATCTTCAAGGACGAGACATTACTTAATAAATCATAATTTAATTATAATATTTTACAATTAGGTACACGTACACAAAGGAAAATTAGAAAATCATCGTCAAAGTTATTGATGCTGCTGGAGAGATTATTATTTGTTCACATTACAAATTATTGATCTTATAATCCGTTTAAATCAACTTGGTAGAAGTCAGTCTGAAAGTCATATATAACTTACTTAAATATGTGGACAGTCAATTAGTTAAATTTACAATATTTACAATAAATTTGTGTTTTTATGAGGATTTATATTTTTAACAGAAAGTTAACACGATGTTAATAGCCCACTAATGTTTGAGGCGATGTTTCGCTACGACCCAATTTTCTGAGTGATGAAATGAAAAACTGGACGAATTAGTACAACAATCTTAACATTAATTCTTCCGTATTCCTTCCTTTTAGTGACAGTATTGTTTATGACGATCGTAACGTCAGCACTAATAAAGCTAAATAGAGTTAAATACTTAAATAAAAATATGTAGAGTCACTTAAGCGTTAATGTGTTAACAACAGCTGAACACTAAAAAATTTTTTGGAGAGGCATAAAAGATATACCTAGGTATATATAATAATTGCACATACCAAACGAAAACCAGCCCGCTTGAATGTAACTATTTGCAAGGAAGTATATTGTTTTCACGCTCATAATATAGCTGTACGTTATTTATAGTGCCCTGGATATCCCTACAACGGAGCTATTTAGGTTGTTATTTCTCATACCGATATCCATACCATACTAATGATCAATAGTTCTAGTTTAATCCTGTTCTTATATACCCAGGATCGAAGAGCACTTTATGATTGCCATACCGGTATGCGAAAAACTGATATTATTTTTTTTGTTTTTCGATAATAAATAATAATTCAATGTTAGCTTTGTCGTATCATCACACAATTGGTAAGTGTGAAAATAAACACATTATGTTGCATTGTAGATACTGCTGCTACTGTAGAATGTGCATCAAATAAAGATTCTGAATACACAATATTACATAAAATGATGGCATCGACACTGAACTTAACCTTATACCAAATGAATTAACATACAAAAGTACTGAAAATGCTATTCATTTGAATGTCTAATGAACGCCTTTATATTTATTTTCTTAAACCAACAGTTTGCGCTCTTCATTTAAATTTTTATTACGTACCTAAAAGTTAATTGTTTCGAAGTAGTCTGTTATGTTTATTAAACGAAATTTACCATGATGTACTTAGACATTCGTTTTATACAACATTAAAACTATGAATGAATGAATCAAACAGGGTCAGTTCCACCTTAATTTAACGTTTCTTTATCTTAGAAAAGAAAAATCGCAGTCGCCATTTTGTACAATCTCTAAACAGTTGGTAGGCTGCCCACGGCTGTAAACAAACATTAAAATTTGAATTGGGACTCAGTGAATTTTCCTCGCGAAGATTTTTCACGCGGGAGGTGGTCCGCGCACGCGCGTAGGCGTTGGGAGGTGTTCGCCAATCGTCTACGCGCCCGCCCCACGCCTCGCGTGCACACGCCTCGAAACTGAATTGTACTGTCTCCAACAATCCTACGAACCAAAATCTTTTCCAAATTGTGGTTTATTTTATGACATAAAATGTATTCTTTTTTAAAATTAGATTCGCATCAGATAATCTCAGCCGCGCCGAGAAGATGTGTTGCCAGATATCAACTACAAACATTCTAAACATTTTGGTTTACAAAACTCTCGAGCCGCTCGCACGTCTCCTAAGCAATAAGCAAATAATTTTAAACTACGAAATAAATAAACTTTAATCTGAAGTAAAATGGGAATGTGCAATGGGAGAGGCCTATGTCCAGCAGTGGACTGCGATAGGCTGATGATGAATCTGAAGTAAAATTTACCTTAATTAGTATGGAGATTTCTAAATCAGCAAAAAATATCCCGTCGTGGTTTAAATATCTATGTTGGGAACTATGCACTGAGGTTTTGCTACCATCCATATAAGGTGATGTCGCTCAATGTTTTTTCACTGGATTAAGCAATATTAATCACATATGTTACCACTATGTACCAGTATGTTACTGCTCTAATGTTGGACACTAAGGAATGCACAAGTAACTGGCTACTTATTGTCACTTTTATGTTCTATTCGATTCTTACAACATATCTTATGACACAATTTTTTCTACTAATTAATTTCCTTATTGATCAAATTTCAAATTTAAGGAAAAAATGCTTAAAAACGTATCAAATTCGGTTGCTAAAATACATACTTGCTACTCTAGCAGCAAGTGAACTATATAGGAAACAATAACTATTTTTCATTAATTAACGCTAAAACACATAGATTAAAGTTTTCATGACTAGTTTAATGAAGTCGAACGAATATGTACAACGTGAGACGGTGGTGAACGAGTGAGCGTCGAGACGTAATAACATTTTAATTAAATGGTCGGAGGTCAAATCACTTGTGGACCCGCGTGACCCAGCCTCGACACGGCTCTGTGCTCTGTCCACGCTAATAGATCTCTCGAGCCTACTCCTACTTTACTCACAAATCTAATCCTATATTTAGTTTGTTAATAGTGTATAGTGTTCTCCAACAGTAGGTCGAGTATGCAGTGATAGTAGCTTAAAATTAATGCTATGAAAGACTATTAATCTCGAAAAACTGTTCTTTTTGTAAATATTGTGAACATATTTTTTTACTAGGTATACTTTCATAAAATACACTACACGAGTAAAAATGTCCATGATATCCTATTACATACTTTCTTATTTAAGACTAAAAATATTTAGGACCAACCACTCTGTATTTTATCGTTATAAAAATAATTCTATCTATCTACCAGATAGATAAAAAAAACTGTCTCTCTTACACCTCAACAGGAGTGAGACATTGTTTAATCCACAACGTTAGTAACAAACATAGTATGAAAGCTCAGTTGCTTACACGCAACAAACTGCACAATCTATTGCTATTGTTCACATAAACAAGCCGCCGAATTGTTAGCTCTTGTTATACAAGCTCGCATTGTTCCACATTTGAATCGTGCGTCCCGCGTCACTCGATTCGTCGAAGCATCCATTGTCAACGTGTTTGTTGATGCGCGCGCGATCCGTGCAAAACCGCGCAAAATCTCGCGAATACTTTGGCACAAATCAAAACATGCATTGATACGCGGGAACAAACCACTTCTTGTATGCATTACAATGTTTTAACTGGCCGAATAAACGAATACCATTGGATCATTTCAACCCAAAAATATAAAGAAACGCCCAAACACTTTTTTCTAACGAAAAACATACGCCATACTTCAATTTTTAAAATTAGTTTTATTATACAGAATTACCGTTAGATAATATGTATGAGCCATGACTGCTATCGTAAATCCACTTAATTTAGAAATATTAAAATCTACAATCGAATTAGTGTGTCTCTTTCTCAAATATGCGGGTGTCCACTTTCCAATTAAGATGGGGTCGAAGATGCAGCCGTTTGACCCGCGTCGGTTGACTCGTTGCACACTACAATAGACTTGACACCTAACACTTAATACATATTTGCTGTATTGACTCAGTAGACTCCCGAGCCACCAATTAGTGTCGTCCGACATACTATTGCTTTGTAAATTAACACTTTTGTGGGTTAGGTCACGTATACTCTATCAAATTCTGTTTTTTTTTATAGATTTGTTTACTTATACCACAAAAACTGTTCTCTATTTAATTATCTCAATGGTATGTGTTGAGATCAATACCTAATACATAAGTTTATCTCTCTATATTAAGTAGGCTTAAATATGATACTTCTTCGCACTTTTGTCTGTGTATATTGTTGTTGTGTATATTAGCTTCGCTTGACTTTCAAGTGAGCTAGGTTGCGTGACAATAATAAACTAAATCAAACCTTATGCCTACGATAGAACGTGATCAAAATATAATCTAGTAACAAATAAGAGACAAATGTAATGCGGTCGGTGTCATTAAGGCGTGTGGGGTGACAAATTGGGCGCGACAATCGAGTTAGTTGACCCGAGACCCGAGCGGCCAATCTCTGCTGCACTACATTGCCTTATTAACCACACAGACTCACATTTATTCCATTGTAACTGATACTCGTATCATTATCTTTATATCTGCGCCATTATCACACACATTTTGTATACTTAATAGCTATTTCGTTAACTAATTGATATAGAATAAAACTCAGCATGTTAGAGTTTAGTCAAGAAATTTATTTTACAAATTATTCAATTAAAACTAAAATAGCCTGCGGTTTAACTATTATTGAAAATAAATACACCCACAAAACAAAAATGTAAACCCTAAATAAAAGCTATGAACTCCCAAGAGTGGATGTTTTTAAAACTTGTGAAGGCTTATTTTGTATATTTTACAGACTATTTATGTATTTCAGATTAATAATATCGTCTTTGTTAAGGATAACAATTTACGAGTTAGGTGTACAAGAAAAATCGAGTAGGTAAAATATTTAAAATTATCGTAAACTTCAAACAATAATTTTGAATTCGTTTTCATAACAGGTAATATAATATAGTAATACTTTTCTAAATGAAAGCCAAATATTTGAATATATTTTTTCTTTACGCCCTGTTGAAAACGTTTGACTCTGAATAACGATTCAACTATTGTCGTCCAATATTGGTCGAACAACTAGACATATTGAATGGGACTACTTACGATACAAAGGAACGCTCAAACATCAATATGATTCTCATTTTTACGGCCTATTGGAATTAATGAACTGGATATCAGTTAATAGATAAATAATATCATTTGATTGATTGAATTACAAGGCTAGGCAGACTAAACCGCATAGGTACTGTATTTATTCTTATATTTATGACTGATGACAATACAATTTTCGAAAAAAGAATTTTTCCCCTAAACCCTGAAGTCCAAAAGTTTAAGACTAGTCACGAGTCTATGATTAGGCGAATTATATTGCATACTAGTGATGCAAGCTATTTATTCAATAATGTACACGCAACAATGCGACAGTTATGTTTCTAAATGTGATTTTTATTAGAACAAATTTGTTGCCCCCATCACGAGTGATCCCCTTTTTCTAAAGTTCATAATTTGAGCTTGATTCGTCAAACGAGAAGTAACTGCAGTTTAAATTTAATACTGCATACTATACGTGCTGAACAGTTTACAAATCATAATACAAAACTACGACCAAAGAAGTAGATATACATATCATGCGTGTGAATTTTTTGCAAACATAAACGCTTATACAAATTGTTAACCAGCATTGTCTTATCTACATAATCTGCAGATAAAAAATAAATTAGTACCAAAGATAAACTTATATAACAATTCTTAAAATAAACATGCTCTATGACCGTGTGAACCGGTGTTTCATCGAAAAGCATATTATTACATGATTAACATTAATCACCATGCGCCCAACAGTTTTTTAATAACCATATCGGCCCCTTTTTCACAGAACATATTTAATAAAGCAAAATGAAGATGTTTACTGGTACTTAACCCTTGCTCTTTCAATGGGGTCTTTAGTGGCAAGTTCATCAATTTGTGTCGCTGTATTAATACAACTTTTTATGCTGTTTAAATTTGTATATAGGGGAATTAAACACCAGGCTGTAGTTTATCTAGCAGCATCGTGATCGAATTGTAATCAATATGGGTGCATAGAAATTAACTATCAATTGTAAATAAATTAATATTCAAACAACTACAAAATTAGAGCGTTAAGAAAAATGCTGCTGTAAAAGGTTTCTATATTTTTTTCCGTTAGAATACTCATAGTAAACATTATTGTAATTGAACCCACATCGCGGTCACGCACAACGGAAGAAGCATGGCCAATTATGGTTCATTATAACTACCGAATGTTCACTACATGTTCAACAGGTTAAACATTAATGTACACATTTGACTTTCAAAAATATCAACATAAAATAAAATAAGTGTTATAGAAATCAAACATAGATACTAAAGTACAAATTCTAGCTCTTAATTGTCTACACAATAAATTATGTGAACAAAAACTGTGAGCGTAAGGAAATGTAGGCACAGGTTAAATCATAAAATGTGAAGGTCTATTTACGTATAACCTAATAAACAATAGTAAAAATACTGATGACGAAGATTAAAACCTTTGACAGTCACAGAGATTTGAAGACAACGTTTCCAGTTGATAAGTTTTATGATATTTGTGGATGCCTAATAAAATATTCTTCTATATCTAGCCAATTTATACTGACATATTTATACAATGATGAAAATAATTAGACTAAAATCTTAAATCAATATAATTATGTAAATGTATTATAAAAAATTTGCATACCGTAAATGAAGGACTTGTCGGTACCACCACAACCGCAAAACTGTACGTGTATTTTACAAATACATAAATAAAGTAAATTTACATTAAAGTATAACCATATTACAAATTTAAATCTTTCGAAATATGTATGTATGTATTTTAGCTGATTAAATGTTGGTCGACATTTATGACTGAATAAATTATAGCAAAATTATGTCCTGTGATATCGAGTGCGACCAAATAGCCGTAATATTGAGCAAAATTATCAGTCTCGGACGGGCGATTTGCGTGAGAACTACCCCGACGTTTGCAGGGTAAATTCGAGCGGGTGGTAGGTGCGGGAGGCGCAAGGGTGGGAACACTTGGGGTAAGTGGAGTACCGGGCCGGAAGTGCCTGCATCGGATCGTTCTGCGCACCTGTGGGAATGTTCACCACTATTGGTGTAATATCGGTTAAACAAAGTCGGCCAACGTTGCAAACAAAGTACAACTAAAAATACTTTTTAATTCATTTTATCTTTTTAATTGTAACGTTAGGTATATAGCGTAACGAGTAGAAAAAACTCGAATAAAACTAGCAGTCATTTATTTATTAGTTAATTATAAACGTTACAGCTTGGTATTCATCCTGTTATGCAGGATTAGTAAGGCATTTCGAAATATTTTTAACAGGTGCTGTTATGATATCAAAAAACAATGAACATTGATAAAAAAAGAATAAACGTTTCCACCGTTACGTGACAAACATACATAATCAAAATGAAAAATAGCGAAGAGTGTTTAGACTAATTTGAAAACAGACTTAAAAAACAGTGTGATATTTATTGATCTTATTAAGGTTTAAGGAAATAGTGTGTAACAAACTGTGTAAATATCGGGATAAGTTTAAAAAAGGACATTGAATCAGCCTGCTGGCGGTTTGTGATTCGGAGTTCGAGAGCCCGCAGCAGACAATCATCGAGGCGTCGGCGGCCATCGCAGGCATGGGAATCAAAGTCATGATGAAAGCTTTCAATAAGCCAAAAGGTATGTTGAACCTATACATACGACATGGTTAAAATACCAAAATTTTATATTTTATCACGAAGATTTGATGGCAAATTTAAATTGTTCTACCGGCAATAACTGCTGCTAGTTGAGCCAAACCAAATTAATGCCACTTTGGTTGATAGTTATCACATTGTAATCTATTAGATGCAATACCTATATTTTATTGACTTAAATATTTTTACCTCATACTTCAAATCTAGTGATTGTGTTTTTATTCTCAAGAGATTCCAGGTGATTTAGACACGAAAACACTACAACAAAGTTTTTGTATCAAATAAGATGGGATTTAATAAGTAGATTAGACATCTGTGTAGCATAAAAAAAGGATATTTTGATGTCAGTTAAGTTTCGTCTATTAGTTAACTGATGTCAACAAATAGCGATGTATGATGGTCGCGATGCTCGCCGTACGATGACGCAACTTCGCAGCGCTCTCGGTTTCGTGTGCACTTGTCCCGAATGTGAACACTCCGTGACCGATGGAAAAATATGAAAACGTTCATTTTCTAAATTAGTAACTACGAATAGCATAAGTTTACAGAATATCGACTAGTTTATATTTCGATGTGTTGAAATTCCTTGAAATCATGCGGTGCTGTATACAGCAAAGATGTTTTGAAATGCCTGTACTCAACATTGTAAATTCATAAATACCTAATAGTCAAGTAAGAAATGGATGCTGAATAGCTTGTCCGTTTAAATAAAGTAAACAGATGATATCATACATTTTAAATAGATAAATAACTGTAGTGTTTAAGTAACATGACTATTCATTATCTTGTTTATCGATTGCAGAACAGGTGTAAATAGTGAAACGCGAATATAAGTAAATAAATGTAACAAAGAGGTACCTATTTCTATAGTAGTTTGTACAATTTCTTCAATATCTACCTATTTTGAAACGTCGTGTCCGGTGGCAGCAGTGTGTCTGCGCACCGTTGTGCAACGACCATTACCGTAATTATGACTTGCTCCTCGCGCATGCTCTGGTGATCTTGAAAGTAAAGACCTTGCTGACTGCGTGCTCATAACCTGAGAACTGAAAACAATGTTTGTATACAAACTAGTTACTCGTTAATCGCTCCCCAACCGAATTGTTACATGTAAAAAGTGCGATCTCGTAAAAAGATTACATAGGTATGAAGTCTACCTTAAACTAAATTCAATGTAATGAATGATTTTCATACCCCTCTAATACCCACATTTAGATTTAAAGAACAGAATAAGAATCGAAAGAACTTTTTTTTAGTACTGAGCACTTAAACCTAGATCTCACGCGTTGATTGCTATTAAAACATGCAATCAGCACTAAACTTGCTTCTGTACAATTGCAATTGCATTGCATTTGTTGTCGTCACATGCTGACCCAGCCCTGCTTAGGTGTTCCATTATATCAATTGTGTAAGAATCTAAAACATAAAATGATACTTCTAATTGAATCCAAAAATACATTCATATAATTGAACGCTATACACCTAAGTAATATAACAACATTTCCGTCCGAACATTGAGTAGAAAGAGACATGTTATATCGTTGTGTGTCCATGTACCACGTATCCGAACACCGGACATGTCACCTCGGAGCTAACAAGCTGAACTATGTAACCGTTCGAAATGCAGTAGCTTAGGACTCGAAGGGTTCTCATGCTACGAACAATGCATCTATCAATGAGGCAAACAACGGATTTACAATTCAACACATTCTTTCGGCCATAAAAAGTCATAACAATTTACTGGCACAACAAAGAAACAGTGGCATCTAGTACGGGAGCTAATAACGCGGAGAGCAGCAGCGGCGCATGCGCGGGGGCGTCCATTCACGCTGCTGATTGGCCCATCCGGTGCGCGCTCAATGAGATGATGCGCGCGCGCTGCCGTCGCTCCACCGCGCCCGCGCTGCGCCGCCTCTGTCATTGAGCAAAGGTCCATCGCCTACGTTCGTGATCAACGCAACCGGAGATCACTAAAAGATAAGAAAGCATTGTTAGATACTCTACCTCAAAACTTAAAAATGATGAGCTCCTCCGATATGCTAGTAGGAATGCCTGTAACGTAGAAAAATTCAATGTATTCAAATTGTGTTACTGTCGCGTAGCATGTTAGTGGTGACATAAAGTTTAAAACAGAAATTGAGGAGCGGTTGGACGTAACGAATTTTAATGTCTGACAAGCACTACTCGTACGCAAAACGTTCATTTTCTGCGTGAGTGAACAGGAAACCGTTTGAACAATAACATTTTACCACGTTATGGCATAACCCTCCTCCACGCTTTAACGAGTACAGGGGTGACATCGGTAGGGAAATGTTAAATATTTCAAAATATATGGTAAAATTATATTAAAACTCACGTTAGCGATAAATAATCTGATAATTATTGGATTTTATAATTCATACAACCGGTTGTCATCTTATCATGTATGCTTTTAAAATACACGAATTTCACCTAAATAGTTTCTAAATATTAATTTATGTAAATGGATACAAACTCTAAAATATGTCTTCACTAATGATTGCTACAGTTACATAGCAAATGTATCCAAGTATTAATAATACCTTTACTGCAGAAACAACGTTTAGTATAATTATAAACAAAAAGAAGGCGATTTGAATGCAAACCAGCGCACGCGCCGTTTACGTCACGCGACGTTCCAAGTTCAAATGGTGAACAATAGGTTCAGTAAAAATGGTTCGAGCTTTTGTTCTGGGTCGCTATTGTAGTGTGTAAAGACTTACTATCTACAGTGTTATGCATTTGTATCGATCTTTTTCCGCATGCATTGAGGCAAATATAATTGTGCTATGCAAAAGAAAAAATAACATTGTCAATGAGTAACGTTGCAACGAATTTTACGAAGAAAATCATAATCTTTCCTTTATCATGTCTGTGAGACATGTAAATTTTACACAGAGGAAAATACGTACCTACCGATTTATTAAAAGGCTAATTCTGTGTGCTGTGTATTAGAAAAAATTATAATAGAAGGACAAATATATATAAAAATATGAAAATTGCACTTCTACACACATATTAGTGGTTAGTTAATAGTAGGGAGCGAACACATTGTTACAGGTCCATCAGTGAACCTTTTATCACGACAGGTTGCTCTACTTAGGCAAGTAACTTGTCGTGTTAGTGTCAACTCACAACGCTTGAAAGGGGTGAGGCGTTGTGTACATGTTTTTTTGCTAAACGCAGGTAATAGTTAGACTAGGATATTATTTAAAACTTAAAAAGAAAAGGGTGAACGTGTGATGAATACAGCCTACTAAAAATATAATGAATTCAGTTTATTTTATATGGTAGAGTAAAAGTTTGACCTGTAGTAGGGGTGAAAGTCTCGCAGGGCGCTACCTCATAGTACACACTCCTCTAGATCATTATTTGAACTGAGAGAATAAATACCTAAATAGTTCAATTACGCAGATTTGAAACATAGATTTGAAAATGTAAGGGACGAAAAAACTAAAGATTTTCTCTTATAGCTTTCGCCTGCTCTGCGCATAAACGCTATTTCTCTATCCTCTGCGAACAGTATTTTTTTTAAAACCAGTCCTTTTTGGTCTCTGACAAAGTGTATACATAAATTTAAAGCAAGTTTGTTAAACGAGTTCTAACAAAATATTAATAAGAGCTAAAGTCACTTAGGCAAAGCAAATGAATATTACCATTTATAATTTCTACATGTAGATAAGTGTAACGCAAAACATGATGAAGCTATTACATTTGTTTATCAACAATCGTTCTAAATGGCTTAACGCAACAAGTGTCCGTTGTTGAATGTTCCCCTTCGAACAACCCTTGTCTACCACCTGTTGTGAAACCATCAAGCTCAGAATTTACATATCGTGAAATTTGTTCAAAACACATAAAGCCTGCTTCTCATTATTATTCGTTTTTGTATGAGTTTACTATGTATATGAGACTGTTGTCATTTTAACAATGTTGACACATTACTACTGAACAATTAAATATAAAATTAAATTCACATGATATTGATCAAGTCACGTGAAATACGTTGTACTTAAAACTTATATTTATAAAACTTTTCGCTATAACCTTTACTTAACATTTTAGTCAAATATGTAATAATTTTCGTTAACCCCTCTTTTCAAAAATTTAAAAATCACTGACAGACTGAGACATACACGAAACAGTTCAACCTCTGTGTTTTAAACGGATTCTTAATTTAAAAACAGCTGTCAAATTACGAAAAAGAGTGGGCCAATTATCGCCTAATGTAGGAAGGTTGAGTCCTCGTTGTTTGACCAGAGCCAGCCGCCGCATCTCCGGTCCTTTGTGTGCAGTTATCTACGCTATTCACAATTCTCTCCACTTGCCAAGAGTACACAACAACACTACATTCTGTACATGTTCAACCTCTGCCCAAGACCTCGATGACTTGATAAATTCCTTTTTAACTAAAATACGTTTAAGTTGATTTTAGATTGCGAAATTTTACCATGATTGTCACCGTACAGTGTGAAACTATTTAGGTGAACACTTGCTTTATATAAATCTACAAAGGTTTAGTTCTGATAGTTATATGGTTTTATACTGTAAACAGATAAAAACTAGCTTAAAATAAAGTACAAATTTAGGACGTGTCTCAGATAGCTTAGTTGCAAACTAAATTAGTAGAAATAATTAGCATAACAAATGTACGAAATGTGACTAATTAAAAACAAATTTTAAAACTTCTATCGACTTTATAGAAAAAAGGCCTGTCAATTTGTTAACATAAAAATAGATCAAAACAATAGAACCATATTTCATGATTGAGGTATGAGAGTGACGAGAATTCAGAAACATACACTTGGCACTTGACTTCACATGAGTGACAACATCATTTGCCAAGTGTTTCCGTTCCTGACTTATATACGTAACTGTTAACTGTTTTTACATTAATGGAATTTCGCAGGACCATTATTAATTAAAGTAATTTGTGAAGGTAAATGCTGTTACTCACCATCCTAGTGACAGTATTGTCAAACGGATGGATCTCATCGGAAACTACACGATAATTAAACCGAAGATACTTTGGTTTAATTACTTTAATCGCGGAAACGGAAGTCTTGCGATCGTAGTTTTTGTGCAACCGAAAATTACCATTCCAGGACTTAATGTCAAGCTCGACTGTTATTCGTACCACCATTTTGTTGACATTATCCTCCACTGATAATTACAACCAACTTCATTCATTACGAAATAAACGGAGTAATTGCAATAATTTTCTACTCAAATAATGACAGTAAACTACTGTAAGTACAAACAAATCGCAAGAAAAAGTGTTGTTTATTTTGCACTTATAACTGTGGAACATCAAATTTGTCAGGAGTCGCCGACGTATTATTTCTTTGGAATCTCGAACAAATCTGAAAAGACGCTTTGCAAACTTTATAACGGTTAAAAGTATTCGTTCGTTTCATCTTTTAAAAAATAACCTTGGTACTAACATTCGATCGTTAACGACCACGAAGCGGTACATATATTTCTGTTTAAAAGTTTTTGGTGACACGGCATCTCTATTACTTTTCAAATAATTTTTAAGAACATAAGTTTTAATATTATTTATTTTTTATGAACCAAGCTGTTTGATGTGAAATATCATCGTTAATTAATTCAAAATAATTTTGCTCTTTACATTATAATTTCTTAACATACCGACATATCTTTAAATTTTTCTGGAAAGATTTACGTAAGCAAAACAAAACTGAGGTTTTATTCAAGAAGAAGACTCGGCAATGACTTCTAAACAGATTTCGATACATGCATGAAAGAACGGTTTTATTAATGTGTGCATTTTTAATACTTTGCATTAGAGATTTATTAAAAACAACAGCAAACATACCATTGGACTGCGACATTTACAATACATGTCGTCCATTTCCATAGAGATAAAAACTAATTGAGCTGTATAACTGAAAACTTGGCATATGACATTATAAACTAAAACTGACAGTAGTAAATAGAAGTACACTTAATGAATTATCAGTAAGTTTTTCTAGGCAATCAAGACTAAACCTATCAAAGCCTTAACGAGGTGCTAACGAAAGAAAATAGAACCAAACGTCTCAATCCTTTCTCATTCGAATGTATACAAAAAAGTTCCGTATGCACAATAATCGTGAGTCAAGTGCAGCTGCTCGAGATATATAGTGAGAGTAAATCACAGTGCACCGCCAGAGTGCAACAATTAATGCCGACGTGATTCGCAACTCGCAGGACTTTGACCACCTTGCACGTAACGAAGTTTTCTTCTTATTTCATCGCCAGCTGCAATAGCCCCTACTCCATTCTCGTAATAAACTAAATAGAATCGATAATAACTATTAACACTATAATGGGTACACTAATTAGAATACCTATATATGTTAATTCTTTATACCAATCTTTCTGACACCAACGTCTGAATCTATTAAAAAAGATACCGTGTTGATACAACTCGAAAGGTCCATGCAACACCTCAAAGCGTCACTATATTTTACTTAATTGTGATCGGAATACAAAATTCTTTGGCGTTAATTGAAACTAAAACGACGATCACAGAGAAAAATTTAAATTATATCAGAAAGGGGTTCAGCTAGAGCAGATCAGAGGCCGAGCGGGCAGCGACCGTGGGAGAGGTGCACAAATCTCCGCATCTCAGAACTGGTCGGCAGGTGCGCGCGCTGTGTACGCACACAACCGCTTGCGCACCAGAGAACACGCACACACGCGACACAAACCAGGCGCACTTATGAATGAAGCCAACAAACATGCACTACCACACTACACTCACACACACATAATTTCAAACCAAATTCAATCTTGCTTGTTTATCTCTGATTTATTTTATTCGAAACCATCAAGTTTCAAAAAGTTGGCCATTAATTTGTTCTTCGATGCTCGGTTAAATGCCGTAGATAGAGTAATTAATCCATTGGATAATGATCTTGATGGACGAGTACCCGTAAGCACTTCCACATTAATGGTTTTTATTGGAGTTTGTTCTAATAAACATTGTCTACTCAAATAAGAATTCGCTAAACAGTGCCTCAGATATAAAATTTGTTTCTGTATGTGGCCAAGCCTACAAGAATTATTATTAAAGTAAATATTATACGGCAAATAAATAGTATTAAGACCAAGGTTATTTTGTTACAGACATCCCGTCGCAGGTGCCGCCGCTCACCCCGGGCACCAATAAGAAGATGGCCGAGGCGCTGAAGGCTACCTTCGCCTCTTGGGAGAAGGAGCAACTGCGCCTCGGCATACCTAAAGGTAAGTTGTTTTTAAGCTTTCTACAAATATTCTTTACTGAACTTATTCAATATAGATTTATAATTATTTTTTAGTAAATATTAAATAAATAGTTAAATTATATCACTAAGAAATAGGTAAGTACTAATCTGTAACACAAATTACTATTTATTTGAATTTTGAGCAAGTTTATAATGTTTAAGTATATAATTAACACTGTTTAAAGGTAATGAAATAAAGTACTAATGGAGGTTAAGCTATAAAACACCTTTATGTTACCATTTAAGGCTCACAAAATGCATAGATAACTTCACACATTAACATCATGACTTCAATCCGTCGAAGAATTAAGAAAACATTCGAGGGCTGGTTTATTTCATAGTAATGTAAACGCCAATGGTTCATTTGAGATTAGTACTTTATGATCAGGAAGAAAAGGCAATAAAACCGCATAAATATTAATTTTAGACTTCAGTCGCTTAAGATCTGAGAGACGAGAAAAAAAAATTAGTATGTTATTGTCGATGCGATCAGACAATTTTTATATACAACTCTTTATATACAAGTCAATTTTTATATACAAGTCTTAAGCAAGCTAATAAAGGTGTGATTAAGTTCCGTTACTTTCCACCCTTGGTACATTCGTGAAAGTTCAGCTCAAAGTCGACAGCTCGTGTGGCCTGCCATATAAAGGTGATAAACTAATCCCATCAGTTTTTGTCTTAGCCGCTGAAGTGAAGTCGTTAGTGCGTCAGTTATGATAAAGGAATCTTGTTTTTTCCCTCGTTCAGTGTGTTTAAGTGTATAGTGGTTACAAGCAAAAACTGTTAGCGTTCTGTTCACAAGGCGTATAAATACAAGGTGTAATTTACATATGGTAATGCGACAGACGCGACGCCGAGTTGCGGCCGCGGACGCCACACACCTCAACGTTTGTTGACTGCCACTGGCGACCTTTCATCCAATAATTTAATAACTTAGAGGTTACGCAGGGCAACTATCTAGATATATTAATCATGTAATATAGTATATACATAGTAGTAATTAAAAGTCTACATTAGTCAGATCCTCCTGTCCTTTGGTTTATTCGTAGGTTGGTTTGTTGATATGGGCAGCGTTGCGTATACTTAAATATATGGTTTGGTGACAGTTTTACATTTCAGGAATCGAGTTACAGTTAGGTGACCCCGACTTACACGCATTACTACATTTAGAACTTCCAATTTAACCAGCGACATCGTAAGGTGCACACAAGGCCCTTTGCCGTGTATTATACAAGTCTCTGTCGCTGTCCAACTCTTCGGGATATAGGCGTGCGTATATGTGATTATGTATATAGTAAATTGGACAACCTAAAGAGACAATGAAGGGCTTCGCACATAATATAATTATACTTAAACGTAACTTATGATTAATATATACACCAGTCGGATGCTTTAATTTTTTGTTAAGACTTTTATTTCAGAATTGAAAATAAAAAAGAATAAAAAATGAGATTATAAAATATACTTTTGTCCTAATCTAGGTATACTTATTAGCAATGATTATTAAATTTGATTGCATGGGTCAGAAATCTGTTTGATAGTTTTTCCGAGGATAATAGTACTGACTGGTGGCGGGTTCGATGCCCTGCCGCGACGGAAGTGCGTGCGTCTGCGGCGCGTCTATTCGCGCTTCCGGTGTGCCCGTGCGCATCTAACACGAAATCATGCACAGGACGTGAATAACACTTACTAAATCTTTATGATAATCCAGTAACTACTACTGAACGAAATTTACATATATTCATGCGGCTGAATACATGTATATTCAGCCGCATGAATTATATGTAAATTTTGTTCGATTTCGAAACAAACTCAAGATTTTCTTTAAATCTTAATGTACTCTTAAAAATATCCCGCTCCCGTAACACTTCAAATTAAAGACATTTAAAAAAAAAGTCTTCTTCTTGGTGAGAGTATTAAATTTTGCACGCCTTGTATTTCACTATGTCATAAAAAAAATTTATATTGAAAATTATCAAATATTCAGGGTAAGATATTAAGTTAGTGGAACGAGGAACGAAAGTCCTAACTAAGGCGTTGTTTTTCGTTCCTGGTGATAATGTATGTTTACCTATATTCCTCTCATAAAACTTATCAAAAATGGTTGCTTAAGTTTAAAGGTTAATAATGTGCGAAAACGTTAATATGTAAATATCGCTGATTAAAGAGGCTTTGTAGTCCACTTTAAATCCGAATTAACCTTTTGTGTTCAAAAACACGACTGAACTCAAGTTTTAGCACAAAAACTCTAATATGGATGCATGCAACTATGCATACAATATTAGAACATTGGCCGGTTTAATTGTCATTTATTATTTTATTTATATGGAAATATCTGAGCTGTATAATATGTTCAAAGTACCCTTCCAAATGAACATGAATTTAAGGTAAGATAATGGCCGAAGGCCGCTATAACTCTTTGTCGTAAACAGTTGAACGTTATCGGGCACCTCAAGTTTTGTGTGCGTCAATAAATGTATGTGTTATCAATCGACTTGATTCCTTTTAATTATTCAACATAATAAATTGTGTAATAAAACGAAATTTGATAAAGAAAAAACTGTTTCCTCTTAGTTTTTGCTGGGTTGACACGATACAATTGGAATACAGTAACTTTACCGGTCAAATATTTAGTTTGTTACCGCCATCTAGTTTCCAACTAAGCTTGTACTATGAATGCTAGATTGACTGATAGATTACTTCTGAGTTTTTTTGTATATACACACATATTATATATAGAAAACACTCAAACTCCAAAACGAATATTTGCAGACCATACCAACATTTCCCGAGAGGCGTTCGATTACCAGACCAAACAGCACTCAGCACAGCAGTAGCATAAGATACCACTCCTATAAGATAATACTAACACAATATTGTTTATCACATCTTATTGTGTAATGCTACATTAATCTTAATTTAGTAATGCAAAAAAATGTGAATTTAGAACACAATTTTATGCAGTTGAATGCAAAAAGAATGCTAGTGATAAAAAACTGGTTTTGTCGTAACGCTTTCCACGGTTTTAATTAACCTATTCAAAAACAAAGTAGAATGGGCTGATAAAGAAGTGTGCCTTCACATACACGCATATAAATTAGATGGAAAACACACTTAATGTCGCGAAGTATTTTTACTTCAGTGACACTAAAGCATGTCATTATTGCTTAGCCTTCGACAGTAGTAGTATTATAAATGCGTTTGTTATACATAAAGTCTCAATTATTTAACAGATTGTCATGCAATTGTGCATAAATTTTTTTTTTGTTTAACACAAAGTAAATACACACATTCTTTCACTGGAGACACATTATTGTTTAAACATTATAAGATGTATTAATCTAACGGTACTGAGAACTGTTTTCCACACAAGGCTATTGCCTGTATGTTGGTAGACAGCGTTCAGTCGTGGGTTTTGATACCAATATTGAGCAGGGACGTGAAAGTCCTTGTGGTGTCTTTCAAAACTGTTTTAGGTAAGTGACAAAGCAAGTATTAGAGAGTATTATTAAAATTAATATTAATATTCATTGAACACCCATGTATCCTTGTGCATGAGTGTGCGTGCGTATGTGTGTTGTATGTGTATACACACACACATACAACACATACGCACGCATACTCTAACACAAGCATACAAATATAAAAATATTTTTTATCTTAAAAAAGCGTGGTGTGCTTTAAAACATATTTTAAAATATAATAACTTTACTTTTACCAATTTCTGTCAATAAAATATTTTTACAACAATCGAGATTTAGCACCCTACTAAAATTATTCTTCTATTTAAACTTATACACCTTTTCACAGTATCGCTTGATAACGAAATTGCCCTATTAGCGAGCGGATTGAGTGATCGAGCGGCATTAGGTGATTTTTATTTAACTTAATTTTCTTGATTTTATACTTAAATTATACTCACTAGATACTTAAATTATTATTAATATCACCTCGGTGATATTAATTAATGTGCTTTTGTCAGATACTTCACCATTAACTTGTACATAAACTTCAGAAATAATAACCTTCTCTAATGCGTCAAAGCACTAAACCTTATAATGGCAATGCTTAATTAAAAACATGTGATGGCATGACACAAATTCCGATTAATAAGAACAGGTATAGGGTCAACAAATTTTCAAACTGAAATATTTGATTGAAAGATTTGTTTTTTAAAGATACATAGTATGTTAACGTTTACAGTAATCTGTTACAGCTCGTGTCTCTTTATTATAATTATAGCGGAGAGAGCTCCATGTAGAGAGATAATTTAGTTGTTATTCGGTAACCGGCTGATTGTGTGTCGTGGGGATTTATTCATGTTATAGTACATATTATGTTACAGTATCTCGTAAATACAGAAATATCAACGACTTATGTGAAGAAAACACCTTTGGTTTAATATTTTTAAGCTAATAGTAATTTATTGTTTACATTTCAAAGTACAGCTCTCAATATTATGATTGAAAAGTGCATAAAACAAAAAAATACAGACGAAATGATAACCTGCTCTTTTGTGTTTTGGAAGTCGGTTAAAAATTATGTTGTTTCTGCACAACATCAAGAGCCATATTTTCAAACATTATCTATGATGGAATTTTAAAATGAAACAAGGTTTTCTGTGAAATATTGTAGAACTAGAGACTTCATAAATACTACAAACAGTAATTAGTAGCAGCACGTTACTAAAACAAGGCGTAAAATGGAATTAGTTGCAAGTTTACAGCTGCGCCTAGAGCTACCGTTAACTCACTAAGTGGTTCCACTGCCGACGATCGGCACAGATCTTCAACTTAAAAATACATTAATTGATTTACAGAGTGGCTATGATTTTTTTTTTATTCAAACATCAAATCAGCGCACTCGAACTCCTTATCATACTTTAAAAACAACGATTTTTTAAAGAAACAAACGTTTTTGTGCATCTTTGATATAACTGTAGAATATACATATATACAAATATTAGTATATATAATAAATTTAAATCCTAAAAGACTTTTACGAAAGAAAACAGCGACGATAATTCAAAACAAGTCGACTCAAAACAAGCCGCCCTCTGATCCGTCTCCTACATCAAACCTTTATGTCAATCCTCTGCCACTAAATCAACAATTACAGTAGCCACAAAAAGACTTTGCTTAAGCAGGCACTCTCTTAACACATCGTAACATTAAAGCATATAGTTGTAGTGAAACAACATGTACATTAAATCATATTTTTACAGTGGGATGGATGTTGTGTGTCGCTATTTCCCTTTGAAGTCGTCTTGTTGGCGTGTCATGTTATCGTGTTCGAGCTTTGCGCCAACATTCTATAGGCCACATACAAGCGCAGCTAATACTATATGCCGACTATAGACTTATCGAGGCCAAGGTGTAAAGCTGTCTATACACTATGGGACATCAGGAGTGACACTTAACGCCGACAAGGGGGAATCACGTTCACACACGCTATTTACCAATAGTTCACGAACAAATATGACGGCTGTCGAAAACTTTTTCAGTACACATATTAACACTCTGACGATTGAAAGATGTGAATAGTTCTTATAAAATTTAAATGCAGTCAGAATCAGAAAATTGTGGAATAATTCTTATTCAAAATCTCATAAAAGACAGACTTAATTACATATATTTTTTGAACTCAGATCTTCAAGTGGGTGTCATTACAATGCAACTAGAGCACAACTTGTTACTATCTGCAATGTGCATACAGCTTAAAAGCTGCAATTACACTAATTACTTGTTGTTAGACAGCTCTCCTGCTCCAACAGGAGAAATTGCAGTTCCGAGTGTAAAAGCAATTTGTAACATCGCAACTCATAACCCATTTGTATTGATTGACTTTTTCTGATAGTCAAGTTGACAGTTGTGGTTAGAAATTCTTTAATGACCGCCGCGGCTTCAGTTAGGCGGGCCTAGAGTCTACAAACACCTAAACGAGGATCTGAATATATTCTATATTTTAATATATCACTCTCTACTCTTTGCAATATTATCTGCTAACACATAAGGATGGAAAAAAAAAGAAATTTTATATCTTCTAACGTAAAATAAATTCTACGCCTTTGCTGACTTTGCAATATTTATGACTTAATGAGTGGTAAACTTACCTGTGCGTGTTATTAAAATGTAAATAAAAAACTAACAATATGTACGTACGTAGCACATTACGTTAGAAATCTTTCTATCATTGTTTTGAAGACAAGCGCTTACTTCGGCGCATACATCGGGGCGTCAAGGTCGTTCACTTCCGGCGCATGGTGCAAGTTCCGCTATTGCTCAACGCGGGCGGTTCGCTGCCCGCTAATTGGTGTTGCAGCCCTAGCCATCCGGCCACAATTGTGCACTTTACGACTGTTTGATAAGGAACAACGCTGGGAGACCGATTTCATGACTGGCGCTTCTCTTATCGACATGTAAGCATCTAGAATTGAACGAATATAATTGCGAATCACTATGATATTTGGAAACCATTTTTGAGCTTGTTATTAAGATTTAAAAAAAAAATATTACACATCATCACACATCAACAGCCTATAATAGTCCACTGCTGTACATAAGCCTCTCCTTAGAAAGGAGGTTTTGGCCTACTATAATTACTTATATTACCATTTAAATAACACACATGTGTCGTACACACTTACTAATTAAGCTTAACCTCCAAGAACTGCATTATAACAAAACAATCCCAAAATTAAGATTGAGCTTACTCATCAATAAGCTTCCATTAGCTTACGCACGTATAAATAAATCTAATGAACTAGCAAGTGCGGCCTGGTTTTTCTTCTCCTCTTCATCATTCCCTTCTCAGCCATTATTACCTCGTACTCGTATTATAAGTTAAATGAATAATATTTCGGACATCTGACACACAACGCCATCTAGTTTCAAACTAAGCAGAGCTTGTACTAAGAAAGCTAAAATGAGTAATAATACTTTTTTTTGTAAATACATACATAGTATACATGGAAAATACCCAAACTCCGAAACAAATATTTGCAGATCGTACTAACATTTGGTCCGACCCGGGAAACGAACATGAAACCTCAGCACAGCAGTCGCATAAACTACCACTGCGCCATCGAGGCAGTCGAATAGGTTCGAATGGATACCATATACGATCTGATTGATTGCCAGTCAAACCTCGCCAAATTAAATAGATCCAAATCCTATTAATTTCTTTTAGAGACCAATATAACTTAACAAAACATTCTCATCCTTAGATCCTCGCCAATGGACCGAAGTGGCAGTGGCCGCGTGGCTCCGTTGGGCTGCACGCGAATTTTCACTGGAGGGCGTGGCACTCCAACAGTTTGCGCGCACTCAGGGCAAAGATATTTGCGCAATGGGCCGCGAGGAGTTCGTCGCAAGAGCACCAGCCTTCATGGGCGATATACTCTGGGAACATCTCGAGATACTACAGAAAGGTAAGTATGTCTATAATAAAAGACTTTTGTATAAGACTTTTATATAAGAATAAAAGACGTTTATATCAATCGCGATTTTAAAACAAAGAAGATAGCAAAAAGTAATTTTTGTTACTATCTGACTTAAAGTACCCATTGACAAATCTTTAATTAACATAAATACCTTGTCTCAAAGTCAGCCCAATGTCCTATGATTGTTGTTGTAGTTATACCTAATGAGCCAATAAGCCTGATTAAATTTCAACCGAGTCAACCCACCCTACAACAGTAAGAATGAGAACCTACCACATGAGAATACTTAACAGACAGATCTCTATGACTAGTAGTGTACTCCTACACCTGGTGAAAGTATTAGCTACTTCAGTGCACTGTAGTTGAGGTTTGCTCCCACTAGGCTATGCTCGCACTACTCCTATCAGGGGCGACCGTCTTAATATTGTAAGTATTTATAGGGTCGATAATCACCTAATATTAAATACGCTATATGCTTTTATGTGTAGTATATAACAAGATTTTATTTTTTCTCAGATGTAGAGAAGGAACGTTCTCTGTTGGCCAACGTACCACCCAACATGTACGAGAGCAATGTGTGCCTGCCCGAGTACAACATACCGCCGCCTGCTCATCATTACAACAACAACAACAATACCGGTAAGTACACACTATTTCTAAAACGATGTGAATTGTTGTCCTTAATATTAATTTTCACCATTGAGGTTGGAATTTCTTCGTTTCTTAATGGTACCAAACGGGAAGTATTCCCTTTCAAATGAAACAGAATTAGAAGCGAAATATTTTCATAAATGACGGCGTTCCGGGGTAGTAAACATAAAAAAAAACGTAGCCGAAGTTACACCCTTCTTCTAATTTTTAAGTCGATTTTCAAGAACACCAAACATATGACTGGCCAGTTGTCAACTTTTCATTAAACTTACATTACAAAACACACTAATTGAACATTGTATACAAATGTATCTTACGATCACTCAATTTATGTACTCAATATACGTAGCTAAAAATTAATTAACAAATCCTATTGGTGCACAAAAAAAAACAATTTAATATCTCAAATTATTATTTTCCATTAAACGTAGCAGCTCTACGAGAAATCTACGGTAAGCATCTACGCACTGTAGCGATAAAAGACTTGACTATCGTGATATTACTGAATATATTTGATGTTAAATACTTCTTAAGCAATAAGTCTAGGTATTTCACGAGCTGCAGTAAAACTTCATGTGACTTTACGTCCCCATACTTGTACCGATTTCAGTCAAAGTTCGGTATCTAGTTTATTGTGTGATGTCTTCTCTTATTGCTTTGGCAGTTGTAAGTACCTCCAAATATTTCTAAAATTGAAATAGTGACATGTGACGCACAAGTATGTTTTTTTAAAGGTCTCAATTTCTATAGTATTTTTTTGTCTTCGTTCTACAACTCTTCAAAACAAACGATTCCTTTAGGATATCTATATAAATTTCAATTCAAAAATTAAAAAAAAACTTATTCTTATGCCATTATTCGACACAGTAGTAGTATTATAACAAAATATAAAAGTAGTATTATAATAAAAACTTATCAGAAATATATAAATATTTTCGAATTATAAAGGTATTAACAAACTATAAGTATCGGACAGTCGTAAAGATAGCGCAGCGGTGAAGTGAGTCTCATTATACTATTAACGATAACCCGGCAATTATGTGCCACTGGCTTCGAACCCCAGCCAATGTTTATTGGCGATATCATAAACTGTAGATACTATAATCCCGTTATCTATACATAACTGTGCCTACAGTTAATACTACCTTTTTAATTTAACGAGAGTAAAGGTTAACAATTAAGTGACGACATTTGCCCTTTGTAAACCTAACGAAGAAGTTTTGATTTGTTTCCCACGTTTAATTTATAAAACCTTTTTTTGGATAGACCTGGAAAATGTAATAGGACTGGTATAATCTAGAGTGATATGCCGCTTACTACTACGCTAAGGGTAGTGGGTTCGAACCCTGCATGAGACCACACTTTGTGTAATCAAAAAATTATTATTCTAAGTCTGGGTGTGTCCGTTTCATGTACGAGTATGATTGTGAAAGGATCCCCCGCGACACAGGATATATTCCTAATGCGTGAGTTGTCTTTTAAAAAAAAATAGTTTCACTTTATAATTTCTATGTATAAATTTCCGTTTGTTGACGGATTAAGAATACGGAGTGTCACCTTCCGTACACATCCCGTGGTTGTCGTAAGAGCCGACTAAGGGAACTAACTACGCAGGACAACAGCACTGCAAAGAGAAGGAAATCTTGAAACAAACCCTACCAACCCGTCTGGCCAGCGTGGTATTGTAGGCCAAATCCTCTTTTCTAAAGAGAGGCCTATGTGCAGCAGTGGACTAGTAAAGGATGTCGATGATGTATAAATTAATAGGCTAAAATAATTATTTCACCATTTTTTTTTTCTCTGATTGTCAGTAGATTTCCTTATTTATTTATTAACAAGTCCTAAATATTTTTTAATTAAGACATACTACATTATGATAATGAGAAAATAAATTATAGAACTCTAACCTTCGACGTAACCTGTGTTTATAATATAATATTAATATTTATTTATTTTGTATATTTATAAAATGTTATGAAATGATGTTGTGATGTGAATGAAGTTGAGTTTAAACCATGTTATTATAATATGTTTTTAATCATTTTTATTTATTATTTTGGCCTGTCCGTGATCTGGAGCATCGGGTAATTATACCTTACCCAATGCTCTAGAATCGGATTATTAGAACTCTCTTATCTGTTAAGTCTTTAATGAAAATAAATAGAACTCTCGAAAGTGTCAATACTACCTAGTTTAGAAAGTCCTGCATTACTTTTACGATTATAGTATAACCATAGAATAAAGAGTACCGAGGTGTAACCGGACTCGATCTGTTATGTAATTTGTATTGACACAAGAAAGCGATTAATGTCTAACTCATTGTGATTCCACCATTCCACAGAGACTTGTTAATCAGCACATAAATCTAACAGCAGTAACATATTTTACGTTGAATTATGTAACTGGTCTAGTGAAATAGGCGTATTCACATCAGGCGGTTAATAATTAATCAAATTTTACAATCGAGGGGTAACTGCGTAATATCATGGATAAAAGCTCATTTCCATTAGATATAAAACAGTGTTTATTGCGTTGTAAATCATCACTGCGGGATGTTTTGACTGCGGGCACGCTCAGCTACTGAAATAATAAATTAGCTAAGGAGACATGATGTCCTCAGCGTTTGCGTTAACTCGGGTGGTCTTCGCAAACCACCAAAAAGACAGCTACTACCAATTTACACATCCAATTGTGAGGACTAGAATATATCTCTTTTATAGTTAGCTGACGACAAGTCTAACTCTAAAGCCAACTGTATGCATGTGTTTATATCAGTATTTTGTATATATAAGTAATCATCTGATGATGAAATGGTTAAATGACCTGTATACAAAATCAGCCAAACAAACCTGTAGCAAATTACTAAAATGAAAATATTAACGCAAAAATACTACGATACTTCTCAATATTTTGTACCAAACTATTTACGGTAAACAGATAATTTACAGTAAACAGTATTAGTGTTCTTAAATAAAAGTAAATTGCCTAGTTAACTTGAGATCAAGCTCACTAGCTAAAGCTGAATGAAGTACGTTGATTATAAAAATAAATAAATTATGACGTTAAAATAAATTGATTCTATACGTAAATTCTGACGCTAAAAGTTCATTTATTTATTATTCTTAGATAACCAAAACCTTACAAACTGTCAGAAATGTTTTATCAGTAAAAACTGATTGTTGCGCAAAGATAATGTTTGTTTAAAAGTTTAGTTACCACATAATTTTTTTTTCAATAAAGGCACTTTAGAAATTAATTGTTTATAGTACGTGTTCTACAATACGATACACGTGTTCCTTTTACAGCCATATTTTAAATGTGCTATATTTGTATGTAACGTGTATACATTTGTAATGTATCCTAAATATTTCCAAAAAAAAAACATCAATCAGATCTCATTATGACAGCTATATAAGTATTTTCACTTTCACAATAACGGACTGATACCGAACGTTTACCTAGGTCGGTACGACATGTATAATTAATACAAAAATAGTATACTGAAATGTGTATAAAAACTCGGTACTACGGTAATGTCTAAGTGTCTGCCCACATTGGCGTTTCCAGTCGGGTGCGCGTGTGTGATGGCGCAACTTGTGCGACCTTGACGCTGTTTTTCCGCTCTCTTTCAGCCGCGCCGAGGTCTGCCAACGTCTTGTACCTTGTGCATTATTCCAAACGTGACATCTTCATACATTACCGTGCTGACGAATTTCTGAAGCCAAAGATAAATACATTTACCATGTCACAATCATAAATTGCAGGGCTTTTTGTAATGTAGAATCTTACTCTTATCGTACTTATTTCAAACCTTCAACGCTATTTTAATACGATCAAAATTACAGCCTTTTTTTTTTTTTTTTTTTTTACGTGTGGAAATCCCCTCGGACCGTCACCCCGCCGGGGCTCTCGTTCGGCGGGGCGGTGTGTCGGACTCGAACCGACTAAAACCACACGGTGTGCCCTCTTTGCGCTTCCAGTTTAGGAAGGGTCCAGGTAGCTATCTCCTTCTGGACCCTTCCCAGCGCCGGCCCGCTCCTGGTGCGGGCCCCGTCTCAGTGGACCCTCTCTTTAGGCGGCGTCCGGCACACGCGGACGCCGCCCCCTCGCGGCTGGCCAACTAATGCGGGTGGAGGGGAGAACCCATCCCGTCCACCCGCGGCCACACTCAGGGCGGCATGAGGCGCAGGTAAGCGCGCCTCCGCCGCCCGGTTCGCCGGCGGCGAATCAGGTCCGAGTGGAGGTCGTCCTCCCGGGCCTTCTCCGCCGCCTCCTTCTGCGAGATTACCTCCTCGCAGAAGGTTGCGACCGCGGTAAAACAACTGTCGCTACCGGCCATGGAGCGAATTACGGCCGGTAGCGAGAGATCCGCTCCGATGACTGCAGTGAGGGCCCGGCGCTGCGTCGCCCATGCGGGGCAAACCGCCAGCGTGTGCTGGGCCGAATCCTCACTGCAGTCGCAGTGGTGGCAGGCGGGACTCGATTCCCTCCTAGCGACCGAGTGCAGGTACTTTCCGAAGCAACCGTGCCCGGAAAGCACCTGCGTCAGCCGGAAGGAAAGGGTCCCGTGCTGCCGCCCTGCCCACTCGGCGATGACCGGCTGGAGAGCCTCCACGGCGGCGAAGCCAGCGCGTGGAGTCTCCAGCCGGAACGACCATCTCACCATGGTGGCTCGGCGAGCGGCTTCGCGCCACTCGCGCACGTCTTCGGGCGGAGGGCGAAATCCGCTCTCCGCCCGGAAGTCAGCCACTCGCCGATAAACTTCGGCGAGCACTTCCGCCTCCAAATCCCACGGGGGTGTTCCGGCCAAGGCACAGGCCGCCTCGGTGGACACCGTGCGGTATCCGCGTATGGCTCTGACCGCCAGTATCCTCTGGGGGCGCCAGAGGCGCGCCCTATTCGGGGCGGTCAGGGCCGCCACCCACACCGGTGCACCATAAAGCGCCATGGACCGGACAACCCCCGCGTACAGCCGCCTCGTGGGAACA